ACCGTCGATACACCTGTGTTATCCCCGAAGGCGCAGAGCATCGGCAACAGCACGGCGTTGACCTACATTTTTCCCGATGGCGCCGGAGGGACGTCCGCACCCCAGGCGCCCCAGGACGTCGCGGCGTTCTACAATTTCCCGCTGGTGGGAGAGAGCACCGCGACCGGCCCGATCGGTCTCATCGAACCAGGCGTCGGCAGCTACCTCGGCAGCAGCCCCGACGGCGTGATCGGCGCCGACTTCCAGTCGCGACTCGACGCATATCTGGCCAGTTCCCAGATCGGTCAGACCGGCACCGGGCAGGTGACTGTCCAGGGTATCAACGGACAGACTTCGACCGCGGGTGAACGCTCGCTGGATGTCGGCATCGTCGCCGCCATCAATCCGAACAGCGACATCGTCCTCTACAACGGATCGGGGCAGAACACGCCGGCAAGCGCCGGCAGCGGCACGGGCATCAATGGCCTGCCGACGACCGGATACGCCCAGGCTTCGGTCTTCACGGCCGTCCAGAGTTCGATCTGGGATCCCAACTACGCCGCGGTGACGTCCAACTCCTGGGGCGATTCGCAGAGCATGACGCCGGGCTCGCCGTTCTACATCGCTTATTGGCAGCTCTTCATCGATGCGGCATTGCGAAACCAGACCACCTTCATCGCCTTGGGCGACGGTGGCTCGGGCAACGAGACCAGCAACGGCGTGACCAACGTCGAATACAACGTCACGCAACCCTACAACATTCTCGTGGGCGGCACGTCGCTGTCGAGCTTCGATACCGCAGAAGCCGACGACACGCTGAATCCCGGGCTTTATTCGCTGGCCCTGGCCGGCGATCTGCCGATCATCTGGGCACTGGTGCAGGGAGGCCTGACGACGCTGCCGACCGACGCGGCCAGCGTCCAATACTTCGTCGAGACAGTCTGGAACGCGTATTATGTCCAGGGCGACATGATTACCGGCGAGCCCAACCTCGCCTGGGAGACCGGATATTACCAGAATTCCACGAGCTCGGGCGGGGTCGACCCGACCCAGCCCGTTCCGTCCTATCAGCAGAACTACGGCCTCAATCCGGTAACCACCGATCCACTGGCCCAGACCGGACGGGGCGTTCCCGATGTGGCCGCAAATGGCGGCGGTAACCTCATGTATACGGTGCCGCCAGCCGACATGGGAGGCAACGATGCCGCCACCATGCCCGGAAGCGGCACGAGCGCTGCGGCGCCCTTGTGGGCCTCCCTGGGAGTCCAGCTCAATGCCGTCTTTACCGACCAGGGGTTGCCCAATCTCGGCTACATGAACGACCTGCTCTACATCGCCTCCGCGATCGCACCGGCTTCGTTCAACGATGTGCTCTATCGGCAACAACAACTCTTCGTTCCTGAAGGGGGGCGACTATCGGACCCTTGGCGAGAACTCCGGCTACAGCCACGTGACTCCCACGGGATACGGATACGAAGCGGGCGAGGGTTACGATCTCGTTTCGGGACTGGGCACGCCCAACGGGCTGGTGCTGGCGCGTACGCTGACGACGATCGCCCATACCCAGACCTACGACCTTGCCAATCACGTTTCGTATGCGGTGATCGATCCCGTCACCGGCGCCAGCACCGGGTCGCAGACGCTGCTGGTACAGAACAATTTCATCGGCGCCGGCGTCCTGGTGCAGGTGGACGGAACCGATGCCGTGAGCATGGACGGCAACAGCGCGTTCGGCTGGACCAGCCGTCTGGCCGGGCAAGTAGTCCAGGGAGACAACTTCGACAGCGATTTGATGCCGTTGCTGGACGGCGCGATGAAGTCCGCCCCGTACCAGATCGGCGTGTCGGCGGGCGACGTCCTGGGCGTTACGGCGAACGGCACGGCGCTCGATGCCTATCAGGCGCTGCTGACCAATGACTATGGTTTCGTTCAGTTCGGCAGTGCCGCGGGCGGTGTTACTCTCGCGCGC